TGATGTCATACCGTGGAATATTTTTTGATATTTTCACGGTATTACATCATCATAAAAATATCATCAGAAATGTTCACAGGCGAAAATCAGAATATACTTTGGATATCGATATGAATTCATTGAATACGACGACCTTTTAGAAACTCAAGGTTGTTATTACGTAGATGGCAGGACTCATTCAGCATATTCAGCATGTGAAAATATTCGACTAACGAAATTATGGTAACTAAGAAGATAAAGACAGTAATTTCAAACATTTTTGAATTGTCGTATGCATAAATAAAGCAAAGGTTGAATTAGTTGGTCAATGATTATCGTTATTGCAATGAGGTAATAATTACATAGTTACCCGTAACAATGTCGCAACCAATTACAAAAATGTTATATTTGTACTTAATGAATTTAGGGAATTTAGAATCGTCGATTTTAACACATAAATTAGTGTCTCAAAAGTATTATTTTTAGTTTTGTGTATTTGATCGTAAATGACTAATTGTGTATAGGTAAAAAAAATTTGGTATGACTTTTTTTTTATTAATTATGACGATCATTTTAAATTATGCTTAAAAAAGAATCGTTTGAAAGAGAGAATGTTGAGATTTGAAAGAGAATTCACACATTCACACAAAGCGTTAAAAACAAGGTACTTACCAAATTTTAAAGTTATCCTCGAGCATGAGCATGAGTGTTATTCATTCAGCATATACAATAAATATGTACTTACATGTTTTTACCGGTTTAAATTTAATAATAATTATTGTTGGCAAATAAAATGCTAAACAAAAAAGTTGCCAAAAAAGTTGCAGTTTATAGTGATACGTGTGTACTCATTTATCATGATAATATATTCGGGCCTTTGAACCAACGAGCTTGTCAAAGTATTCAAAAAGTATTCGAAATAGTTATTGGTATGTATTTCTTGCAGCAGGAACTTTTCAAGCTAGATTATTTTGTTGAACCATAACAATAATGGGAATTGACTAACTCAAGAGAGAAGAGAGTCATCGAGTTATCCTAACCCAAGAGAGTTATCCTAACTCAAGTGAGAAGAGAGTCATCAAGTTATCCTAACCCAAGAGAGTTATCCTAACTCAAGAGAGAAGAGAGTCATTAAGTTATCCTAACCCAAGAGAGTTATCCTAACCCAAGGGAGTTATCCTAACCCAAGAAAGTTATCCTAACTCAAGAAAGTAGCGCATATATTTTATTTATTTTTATATAGAAGGTTAAGACTTATCACGTGAAACGGGTTATTATTGGTTTTAGGTAAATAAATAACGTATCGGTATCGATATATAGTATCAATATCAATATCAAATATGCGGGAAAGAAACTTCTTAATGTATACGTCATTATAAATTCCGAAATAAACACTAATCAAAATTCAAAGTTTGTCCCATCAAAATAGTGATGTCGCACATGATGAGTTTGTAAATGTGTAAGTTATGTAGCATGGTATTTACGTAACAATATATTATAAATTAAAAAAAAAGGTTGATTTTCCTGTAATCTGTATTGTATATAAAAAAGCAAGTAATTTGCCATCTGGAAACAACCTTTTTTTGTTGGTTTTTGCAACAATCGTTTTCGTGACACCAACAGGAGATCATTAACCCCTCCAAATTTTACAAACAATAAAAAGGGTTACGGTTAATCCCCACTTTCAAATTTCTAATCTTCTTAAGATCTCATCCGACGTTAAATTTTTTTTCTTTTCCTTTTTTAAAAAGTTTCATTAAATTCTTATTAATTATGAATTTAACGCCGCTTCAAAAATTTTCCATGTTGAGTAATTGTAGTAGCTTTGAAGGTAAATGTTTAGTAATCATAACTAATTTGATTCCATTCATTCATCAAATCGTTTAGAAAAAAAAATATTTTTTTGCATCTTTTGAGAATTTTTGAGAATTTCTTTAAAAAAAAAGATGCTTTTTTCATCAAATTTAATAGAATTAATAGAATTAATAGAATTAAATAAAATTAATCGATTTTATTTTATTTCTTTTTTTTTAAAAAAAAATAATTATAGATACTGAAACAAATTATTTCCCAATGACACCAAGTGAAAATGGAGAAACTCCATTGATAAATTTTAAACCCGTGCGAAAAAGTCGTTGGCGTCTCTCTGAAGTTCCACCAGAAATCATGCAATTAATCACTCCTCCTAGTTCTGAAGCATCGGGTTCTCCTACAAGGTTTTTACCTAGCACGCCTGGCACACCATTCTCAACCACAACTCAGTTAATCGACGATCATTGTTCGCCATTACCTTCTCCAAAATTAAATAGATCAAATTTACGTAAAAAACTTCGCAAAAATCCTTATCCAGTTCGTTCGCCAGACAGGGAAACAACTGAAGATACTATGTGTTTAAGAATCAATGTATATGATATTTACAAGAAAAATCCAAAAGCTTTATTAGATAGACCACAATATAGACGAAATGGTTACAGAAGATTACAATCCGTTTGGGATACAAAAATTGATAAAACTCAACCTCCTCCTCCTCCATTACCATTTGATGAATTGATGAGTAACTTGGAAGATTTAGAACTTAGTAATAAAATTTTAGACACAATCGAACGTCCGAAAATTACATGGAGAGGCCCTGAATCAAATGTTGATATATTACCTCATGCAAGCGTTTTACATAGAGTTGAAGCAAAAGCTTGTGGAATTCTAAGATTATCACCTGAACAATATATTAATTCTAAGCTGATTATTCTTACGGCTGCAAAAGAATATAAAGAAAGGTCCATTCCATTTAGAAAAGTAGACGCACAAAGATTGGTTAGAATAGACGTGAACAAAGCTTGTAAACTTTGGGAATTCTTTTCACAAGCTGGATGGATTCACAATTAAAATACATTTGAAAATACATTTGAAATTTTTTTTTTTTTTTGTTTTTGTGGAGTAATCCAATTTTTAGCATACTCGCACATAATCAATATTTTTAAAAAAAAAAATTTTTTTTTTTTTTTAAAAAAAAAGTTTTATATTTCTAATTTCTTTACGATTAGTAATTCAAAGTTCGATTGTATTTTTTTTTTCCCTCAAATATCCCCTCTATTTCCTCAATTATTTCCTCAATTATTTCCTCAATTATTTCCTCAATATTTCCTCCAATTATTTCCTCAATATTCCTCAATATTCCTCAATTATTTCCTCAATATTTCCTCAATTATTTCCTCAATATTTCCTCAATATTTCCTCAATACACGAACAATAAATTTCTTGTAATTAGCAGTGATAGGTAGGTGGGTAGTACAAAATTTAATATAAACCATTTAGTAGACGTATTGTGTAAATAGTAATAAAATATTGGTAAGAATACAAGATAACGTCTTACCATTAATACTTAAGAATTACATCTTAAGAACTACTTTAAGAATTACTTTAATTACTTTAATTATTATTTATTGTATAAATTATTGTATAAATTCTTTTAAAAAAAAAAAAAAAAAAACAATACGCGTACAGTCGCGAACTTTGTTTTTCATGTTTACAGCATTTACAGCATTTTTTAAAGGGGTAATTTCCTTTCCGTTTGGTAAGTGAAATTATCATATTTAAAAACTAGTCAAGGAAGTCGAAAGCATGGACAAAAGATTCTCCTGCAGAAAGGCATAATTATTTCGATTAGATTTTTCCACATGTTGCATATCCAAATTTGTTAATAAGTAAAAAAAAAAACCGACATGCTTGGTAATACTGTAATACTAAATGGTTATCAATTAAATTTACTATAAAATCCAATATATATAATGTCTAACAAAGGTATTACAAGTTATCGCACATCGATCTCGAACCGGCAATAATAAATTATAATTCCGGTTCGAGATTTTTCCTTGCCGGCATTGCCGGCACTAATTTGTGAACTATGTCCAATAAAAATTTAAACTGATCTAGCGTTACCAATCTAAAAAATTTCGCTAAAAAAAATTTCGCTGTTAGATTAGGGTTAGGTTCTGCTAATAAGTTAGATTATAAAGAGCTTTAATGGTACCAAAATTTCGCAAATAAACTTTTTGCTAGTGCGCAGTAGATGGTTTCATAGATAAAATGTTGAGCTATGAGCGATTTTTTGTTTGGCTTGACTTTTTTGTGTTTCTTCTGCGTTCTTGAAATCTGATTGGCCAGTGAAATTTTTTAGGTTGGTAACGCTAGACAGTCTAAAAATTTTACCATATTTTGTATATTGATCAATGTTCATAAAAAAAGTATCCTGGTGAAGTATTCTGGTGTAGTATTTATTTTTGCCAAAATCTTTCAACCAATGACTTTCTATTAGGAATGTTTCGAATATTTCGGAATATTTCGGAACCTGTTTATACCGAACTCGGGTTATAATGAAACCAGATCTGGCAGAAATGACGAACTCTTCTTTACCAGCCCAAGACTATGTACACATATTTGATATAACGAACTATCTGTTTGTATATTATACCGGTTCCTAAAAATTCCGAATTGGAGGAGTGAAGTTCCGATAATTTCCGAAGATGTATTGACCTGTGATCTCACCTGTGATCCTACGACAACCCTAGCATTCCCCCGAAAAGTACAAATCGGAAAATCTTCAAAATTCGTGTTTGTGTTTGTATTAGGACTTTGATAGTAAGGATCACGTAGTAAAATTGTACAAGGAATTTTTTTGTTAGAGTGCAAAAGGTGGTTTCTGAGAAATAAGCGACGTTTAAAAAAAGCACTTTGTTTTGTCCTGATCGTGCTACGTTACACCAAATAATTATCGGCTATTGGTCAATTGTCACGTGTCAGTCCTTTTTTTTTCGGGGAACACATGATTTCATTGGTTAGTCTGTATACCGAATAGAAACCCGAACAAGCAGTTAGAGTCGACTGCCCATGTCCATTGGTCCATATTGCCCATGTCTATATTCTGCCAACACTGTTCGTAAAGAATCGACCAGGGCGGCCCCCAAAAATGCTTCTACGGCTTGTCATCTATTGGTTATTTATGCTGCGGCTGTGCCGAACTACATCTTGGGAGACCGCTCTGGTCGATTTGTTCGTGAAGGTAGTAGTACATATCTTTCAATTGCAAACATTAGGAAAATCAAAATTTGGCAAAAAATAAAATAAAATAAAAGCTATGTATAAAATTTTAATATATATATATATATTTCGTGAAACAAATGAAAACAAATGAAACAATATTAAATATCAACGGACTGATAATTTAGATTTTTTCGTGATACCGTGTGATACTATCAGTTATAAATAAAGAGATAAAAAGTTGTGGCACTGACATTACATGATCAGATATAACGCATTAATCATGTGAATATAAAGTGTATTCCTTTCTTTTTTTTTAATCGCTCCGTTTTTCGTCATGGAATCTTCAGAGAATCTAGCTAATCTTTCTAGTACTTCAAATTCTTCTCCTGATACCGTACCTAATAATAATAGTAATAATAATAATAGTAATAATAGTAATAATAGTAATAATAGTATATCATCGAGTGCTTCTTCTAAAAAATCTATTCAACAACCCATTCAAGAACCTATTCAAGAACCTATACAACAACCTATTCAAGAACCTATTCAAGAATCTATTCAACAACCTATTCAACAACCTATTCAAGAATCTATTCAACAACCTATTCAACAGCCTATTCAAGAACCTATTCAAGAACCTATTCAACAACCTATTCAAGAATCTACTCAACAATCTGTTGCTGAAAAGAATCAGTTATCCGAATCAAACAGTCCATCAAACAGTCCATCAAATATGTCTCAAAATGAGCCTTCTCAGGCTGCTCCCGATACTGCTAATACTGCCATTACAACAACGACTGATCAACCTCAAACTACTACTTCCGTTACAACTAATGCTACCATTACAACAACGAATGATCAACCTCAAACTACTGCTTCTGCTTCAACAAAGATTACTATTAATACTCTGTTAAACTCTCCTGATACTACCCCTATATCTTCACCTGCAGAATTGATATCTAATACTCGTTTGAATGATGGTGTCAACTCCAATAATAACCATTTTTCTCCTTATTCCACTCCTCCTTCTCAACATATTGCTCCTAATGATCAATTCGATTTAAATCCTCCTATTCTTGACGAGACTTACACTTCTGACTCTCTTGATTATTTCCAATCCCGTTTTCCTCCTTCGAGTAATGCTATTTCTCGAACTCAACAAAAAATCAATCTTCAACGTGATTCTTTTCTTGCTGATGATGAAAATTACATTATTCATCCTCATAATCAACGTAGATTAACTAGAGCTATCGAACGAATAAATCGTGAACACGCTGCTATATCTTTATATAGAAATCCTATGATTGAAAGTTTACAAAGAGTTTTCGCAAAATACGCTCAAGATCATCCTGAAGTTTTGGATGATGATTTTGGTGCTGGTTATGAAGATTCAAAAGAATGGGGCATTTTATCGGATCATGCAAAAGCTGTTGACCAAATTGGTTCGGCTGTTACTAATTCTATTGTAGCCGCTGATGTTTTAACTACTGAATCTATGGCTTTTCGTTCTATCAAATAATATTTAAGGTATGTTAATATAAAAAAATTGGTTGTTGTTATTTTATGATTTTTTGGTTTTGTCCCTTGTTTTGAATTTTATTTATTTTATTTTATTGTTTGTATTTATGGTTTGAATAGTGAATGAATTTGTATATATGTAATATATACATAATCGGATTTTACTTATTCTGAATAATATATTTATAAGGAACATTCGTCTCATATAATTGTGGGTATTTTGCTACGTGTATTTTTCTTGATGTATTAATTACTTTTCAGGTGAGATCAAAAAATCATTTAAATAAAATAAATAAAAATTTTATATTATTTCTTTTTTGTCTCTTGATTTGTCGATACTCTTTAAGTGTATATTTCATCCATAATAATATATTTTTATTTAGATTACTCATAATCCTTCATGATCCTATTTTTAATAATTGGATCATAGTTGGATTCTTCATATTTACTTTTCCTCTACACTTAAAGATGACTTAAAGAGTGTCAACTGTATAATTTTTAACCTCATGATGTAAATATTTAATATTGTAATTTTAATTTGTTGTGTTAAACTTTATTACTAACTTTAAAGTTTGGTTTTATAACTAAAATAGAAATTAATTTTATACAGTATAAATTTTTATCATTTATTTATTGTAAAATTAACTATATATCATATAGTATAAAAAAAAATTTTAATAAAGAATGTGTATATATATTAATACAGTAATAATGACGATATAACGATAAAATTAATTATTACTTCTGGTAGATAATCGTGTCTGTGTTTGATAGCAACCAATCAGATGTAAATATGATTCTTTTTAACTATAAACTATATCAGTCGGACAAGATGTCACGCAGATCAGGGGGGTAAATTTTTTACTATGAAATTTGAGTGATCGACACTTATATGAA